TGTACTTTATTAGAGTTGCCTATCTTAACCATTATGTAACATGCGCCTATGCCCTAATGACATCAAGAAATGAAGAAGTTTTTAGGGCAATTAAAGATAAGGCGCAAGAACACAACATAATTTTGGCTCCAACCACTGTTATGTTAGACTTCGAAATTGCCCCCAGACGTGCCTTACATGATATCTTCGGTGCAAACGTAGAAGTTGTAGGATGTTTTTTCCATTTGACACAGTCAACATGGAGAAAGGTATAGTTGCATGCTTTGTTAACTATTTTTAATCAATTGTCATTTTGCCTGTTTGAATGAAATTTTGCTATGGATTTTTTATTTTTTATTTATTTGTTATCTCAAATTCAGATAGCAGAGCTAGGTCTAACAACCATTTACAAAGAGAGGGATGATGTTAGACATTTTGTTGGCATGCTAGATGGCATTGCTTTCTTGCCAATAAACCGTTTGTATGATGCCCTCCAACACCTAGAAAGGAATATTCCAGATGTACCCGGACTAGAAAATCTTTTCATTTATTTCGATAAAACATATGGTAGAGGGCCCTTCAGGAACAACAACAACAATAATAATATCAACCAAATTAGGTTGATCCGAATGCCTGCTCTATTTCCGCCCGAAACATGGAACGTTTTTACGATAACATTAAACGGTCATGAAGGAACTAATAACGTTTGTGAAGGTTGGAATAATAGTTTCCACAATTTAATTGGCCATTTTAATCCATCGTTATGGACTTTAATCAGTGCCATCAAAAAAGATCAAACATCTGCTCTAACATCTATTGGTCAAATTGACCGAGGAATTCAAATAAATAAGCCGAAAAAACGACAGTCAAAATATTTCCAAGAAAGAATGGAACGATTGTGCAAAGACGTTAGAGATGGCCGAAGATCTACATTGGAGGCTTTAAGAGCCATAGGACACTGTATTGTTTAAATAGGAAAAATTTACCAATGATTTAAGTGTATTTTATGCGATAGACATTTATAGAGATATTTTTTATTTGTCATTGACCTCTAAACATAATTTTTAAAATGTTTTTGAAGGTAATTTCGTTGAATAAATTTTTTTTTAAGACTTTTTTCTTGAAGACTTTTTTCTTGAAGACTTTTTTTCTTGAAGACATTTTTTCTTGAAGACGTTTTTCTTGAAGACATATTTTCTTGAAGACATTTTTTTTTGAAGACATTTTTTCTTGAAGACTTTTTTTCCGAAGATATTTTTTCTGAAGACTTTTTTTCCTGAAAACTTTTTTTCCTGAAAACTTTTTCTCAGGGATTCCTTCTAACCAGCATGAAGGCAAGACATGGAAACATACTCGAATCCGATTGATGCAAAATAAACTCTAACAATCGATCATTTGATAAAATGTTATAACGGCTAAAACATGCATAAATAAAATTAATGAGCTTTAACAAAGCTCCCATCAATCATTTGTAAAGATATCCGCAACCCAACGGTCTTTCACTGTTATATTCCATTACAACGTTTATTACACATGGCAATAAATCAATTGTTTGAATGTTGGGCAACACCGATTAGGACGGCTTATCATTTTCAATCTAAACAATCAGATCAAAGATCATTCCTTTGTGAATGAGAACCATAACTGGCAGCTGGTCCTCTTTTAACGAGTATATAAGTGGAAGAAAATATTCGATTCCTAAAAACATTCGCAGTTTTGCAATTAAACCTTACAAACAGCTTGAGAAACTTTTTGTTCAATTTATCTACTAAACCAGATACTACACAGAAGGTATTAAGATTAATTGCTATAAAACACAGTAACTAAAACCTTCATTGAATTAAAACATTATTAAAATGGCTAGAAGAGTGTCATTCTTGTTGTTCAACGAGGTAGAACAGACTTACCAGATTTGTGACAATGTTTCTGAAAAAGGACATCCGTTCAAAGCTGACGGGTTAGTTTTTAATTCTTTCCAAAAATCGCAACCGAGTTTGGAGCGACGATCCATATTGAAAAGATCAAGTAACGTAGTTGGGAACGTTGATCAAATGAAATTCGCAAACCAAACAAACGACAATCCAAAGAACACGTGTCACAACCATTCGACTTACACGAACACATTCACAACAAAAGCTACAAGCAACAAAAGAAGGAACAGCCTCAACAGTTCGTTACTGAGATGTCTGCAAGTAGCCACAAAGGATGGAAATGAAGACAGCTATGATGGCGTTGATGAAATAACCTTTCCATCTCATCAATCAAACAACAACATTGTGACTGACTTTTCAGCAAACACAACAAACAACATCAACAAAACATCGATGCACACATCAACATCACACAACTCGGAAATAATTGAAAACATCAGACACCATATTGACGACATGCATGAAAGAGAAGAAGCTGATCAGCACTGCGCAGAGCAATCATTTGCAATCATTACAACAAACTGTTATTCTGTGGATCATAGCATCGACCTCACCAGCGACACCACACCACAACAGCCGACTTCAACACCACTTGAGGAACCTGCAGCTGATTTGAGCAACTTTTTCAGCGATGCTTACAACGAATCAACACTATGTTCAGCGACCTTTCCCAGAAGCAACACTACACAAGTTAACCGATATACGTCTGCTTGTTCAATTGAGGTCATATGCACATCTCATGAGTCCTTGCTGTTCAGCCGTTAAAACAATGGAACCTGGACTCAATTATTACTACTTGTTCAGACACATTTTCAACGAAGACCACCCTCATAATATAATGCAGCAACTCAAGAACTGCATTTGTTCATCGGATGAGGTTGACAAACAGGAAAACCTCAAAATAACGAATAGGAAAAGATCACTGCCAGAAGAGTGGCGAAGTCTCTTGTTGGTCAATTGAGACGTTTGAAACAACGAAATAATTCAAACGTTGAAGCTCCACAAAAGCAATGTGTTTTATAAATATTTCACTGATTTCGTTTTAGCATTGCTACTTTTTACTTGTTCATATTTGATATCATCTTTTAAATTTTAAATGGACAATAATAAATTGTACATAAGTTAATATTTCTTATTTTGACACTCGATTTTAAACGTAAACACGAATTTTTTTATTTAAATTGGTTTAAAAACAAGAAATTTGTCAACAAAAGTGGAAATAAATTTTTCTACAAAAAATATTCAAATCTTCCAAAAATATTTAAATACATTTTTGGTACAAATTAAAAGGTTATTTTTTGTTTTAAAACGGTAAGCCTACATATGATTGATAAAATAAAGTTTATAAAAATTAAACAATTAAGAGTATAGGAGTTAACCCAGATTCCAAATTTACTTATCACTCACATGTTTGTAGTAAACTGGCAAAATTATTTGGCATGCTAAACAAAATCAAATTCATCATTCCATGTGCTGAACATTTTTTACGGAACATCACATACTACTGCAACAAAGTATGGTCAGGCACTTACAAAAGCCACACTACTAGGATTAATTTAATGTAATGTTGAATAGCCGCATGCAGCCCTTTACCTGCACGCATGCGACTCACATGGAGGTAGTAGATAAGTGGTTGCTGTCCATTTTAAAACTTTAAAGCTGTAATAAATTATATCTTGTGTAACCGTGTCGATAATTATATTTATTTAGAATGACTACAAATGCAGTTGGATTCTACACTCCAAGTAAAATATCTAGTACATAACTTCTATTCATACTTTCCTGAAAACTTTACAAACTAAAGAAAGTTTGCGACGAGGATTACGGCAATGTTCGGTTCCGCTTATGTGTGTAAACAGTTGTTTTCTTTCATGAAATTAACTAAATCTTATCAGAGAATTTATGTGTCACTTTTCACAACGTGGTCATGGATCAAGCAAATAATAGTTTAAAAAAGAATCACTGATCATGGTTTTTTTTACGCGAATTTATCTTTTTAATATTCAAAAACTATGCTGAAATATTGAAAAAAAAAGTTTAGTGACTTACTCCAACACTTGAATGAGTTGCTCAAAAAATTAATGATATTTTAACAAAAAATCACTTCAGAATGAATTATTGTTTGATTTTGCAAGAAAACGGAAAAATTTTCTAACAACTACCGAAGATGAGTATAATGTATATAGTAACTGTTCTTTGAAATGGAAGTGGAAGACAGTTAACAGGCTGAATCAATAAATTTACTAGAAAATATGTGGACCATCTCTTTGTTGAAAACAGCAACGATCAGATATAAATGCAATTTTTTTTAGAAAATGTAACAGTGCTGTTTTTTTGTTCTCCAAACGTCTTATTTGTAGTGTTAGCTTATTCAAATTTGTATTTGGCTTACAAATTTGTTTTGACATTATCCTCACTATAGTCGTTGTCGAAATTGAAATACATTTTGAACAAATTTTAGATTTTGCTGAGCCAGTCAACTTTACAACGATTCATGCCGATGTCTTGCAAGAAGTCCCTTCTCTCAAGGAATCAACAACAATGAAATCATAATAATAATGTTTTGATAGTTTTTTTTAAAGTCGCTAATGAATGGTGAAACTATTTGTCAACTGTACATTGTACAAGCAGATTCAGACTGGTTTAAAAAACCGGCTCTGGAAATGTGGTCATGGCGACTCACATCATTACTATTTTCCATTTATTGATAATTCAATTTCAATAATTTTCAAGTTTCTATGATTATTTCATTCCTAATAATAAAATTTTAAACTTCAAAAACACCACTTAAGGTCGCACATAAATGATGATTTTAATCAGAACTTTCTAAAATTTGTAATTATGCAAAACAACAATAAACAGATGAATATCTACTAGTTCTGTTCTAACTACTTAAAAATAAGAAACACTAGAGTACACAATTTCTATAAACTAGCCTGAGAGCTTTTTCGTCGTTTCACTAATCGATGCTAAAACATCAATGATTTCATTGTTGTTGATTCCCTTAGAGAAGGTACTTCTTGCAAGACATCGGCATGAATCGTTGTAAAGTTGACTGGCTCAGCAAAATCTAAAATTTGTTCAAAATGTATTTCAATTTCGACAACGACTATAGTGAGGAAAATGTCAAAACAAATTTGTAAGCCAAATACAAATTTGAATAAGCTAACACTACAAATAAGACGTTTGGAGAACAAAAAAACAGCACTGTTACATTTTCTAAAAAAAATTGCATTTATATCTGATCGTTGCTGTTTTCAACAAAGAGATGGTCTACATATTTTTTAGTAAATTTATTGATTCAGCCTGTTAACTGTCTTCCACTTCCATTTCAAAGAACAGTTACCATATACATTATACTCATCTTCGGTAGTTATTATTATAAACATTATTATTTCAGCATAGTAAACCATAAAATTCTTTTCTGAAGACTTTTCGAAGGACGCACCATTGAAATCTGGATCATGCTACTGACCAGAATGTTTCTGAAGATTAAGACTTATTTTCAAAACAGAACATGAATAGTATTATAAAATTGTTGAATTATAACTAATAAACCTGGCTAAATTACATTGAGAATATTTTTGGCATGGTCAGATATTAGTAGAACTTTGATCTAATAATGAAATAAATGTTATAAAAAATGGATTACGAACTTTTAAATTTTTTGTTTTGATATTGTTCTAGCCAACATGAAAGAAAGACATGGTAAAGTACTCGGATACTATAGATTTAAAATAAACTCTAACAATCGATTATTTCATAAAATGAAATAATGGCTAAAAAGCACACAAATGAAATAAATAAACTTTAACATAAGCTAACATCAATCAACTGTAAAGACAACCGTAACTCAACGGTCTTCCGCAGTTATATTCAATTAGAACGTTTATTACACATGCCAATAATCGATTGTTTGAATGTTGGGCAACACCAATTAAGACGGCTTATCATTTTCAATCTAAACGATCAGATCAAAGATCATTTGTTTGTGAATGAAAACCATAACTGGCAGCTGGTCCTCCTTCAACGAGTATATAAGTGGAAGAAAATGTTCGATTCCTCAAAACAGTTCACAGTTTTACAGTTCTGCAAAAAATTTTACAGACAGCTTGAGAAACGTTTACTTCATTTTATCAACTAAATCAGATACAACACAGAAGATATTAAGATTAATTAATATATTAAATAAAACACAGTAACTAAGACTTAATAAATTTGAACATCATTAAAAATGACGAGACGAGTGTCATTCTTGTTGTTCAACGAGGTAGAACAGACATACCAGATTTGTAACAACGTTTCTGAAAAAGGACATCCGTTCAAAGCTGACGGGTTAGTTTTTAACTCTTCGCAAAAATCGCAACCGAGTTTGGAGCGACGATCCATATTGAAAAGATCAAGTAACGTAGTTGGGAACGTTGATCAAATGAAATTCGCAAACCAAACGAAGGACAATCCAAAGAACACGTGTAACAACCATTCGACTTACACGAACACATTTACAACAAAAGCTACAAGCAACAAAAGAAGAAACAGCTTCAACAGTTCGTTACTGAGATGTCTGCAAGTAGCCACAAAGGATGGAAATGAAGACAGCGATGATGGCATTGATGAAATAACCTTTCCATCTCATCAATCAAACAACAACATTGTGACTGACTTTTCAGCAAACACAACAAACAACATCAACAAAACATCGATGCACACATCAACATCACACAACTTGGAAATTATTGAAAACATCCGACACCATAATGATGACACGCATGCAAGAGAAGCCGATCAGCACTGCGCCGAGCAATCATTTGCAATCCTTACAACGAACAGTTATTCTGTAGATCATGGAATGGACCTCACCAGCGACCCCACACCACAACAGACGACTTCAACATCTATCGAGGAACCTGCAACTGATTTGAGCAACTATTTCAGCGATGCTTCCAACGCATCAGCACTTTGTTCAGCGACATTTCCAAGGAGCAACACCTTGAAAACATCTTCAGCCTTTGACTGCATGAGCTTTAAAAAGGATCATTGCGATGTTAATTGCGATCCATCTGGCTGTTCAATTGACGTAATATGCACATCTCATGAGTTGCATTTCAAATGTCCTTGCTGTTCAGCCGTTAAAACAATGCAACCTGGACTCAATTATTACTACTTGTTGAAACACATCTTCAACGAAGACCACCCTCATAAGATAATGCAGCAACTCAAGAACTGCATTTGTTCATCGGATGAGGTTGACAAACAGGAAAACCTCAAAATAACGAAAAGAAAAAATTCACTGCCTAGAAGAGTGGCAAAGTCTCTTGTTGGTCGATTGAGACGTTTGAAGCAACGAAATGATTCAAACGTTGAGGCTCCACAGAAGCAATGTGTTTTATAAATATTTCACTGATTTCGTTTCAAAATTGCTAATTTTTTGGAGTTCATCAGGTTTTGATATCAACTTTTATTTTTTTTGTTGAAATCTGTTATGAAAAATGGGAATAAATTGTGTGTAACAAATATTTCTTATTCTGTCCGACATTCAGTTTTTAACTCAAACACGATGTCCTGAACGTTTTTGTTGTGTCGTACTATTTTATAACAACTAAATTTGGTTTAAAACACAAAATTTGTCAATTAAATTGAATAATTATTACGTAAAAAAATACTCAAGTGTTCTAAAAATATTAAAAAGTAATCATTAATTCAAATTAAAAAACATTTTTGTGTATTTAAAAAAATAGGCCTACATATGATTTAGAAAATAAAATTTATGGAAATAAAACATTTAAGTTTATAGGAGTTAACCTAGTTTCCAAATTAGCTTTCCGCTCACAAGGTTTAAGCTTTCAGCTCAGAATTATTCATAAAAAAATACTCAAGTGTTCTAAAAATATTAAAAAAAACTTATTAATTCAAATTAAAAAACTATTTAGCTGTTTTTAAAAAGGAAAAGGCCTACATAATTAATATGATATAAATTTATGAAAACAAAATAACTAAATTCTTGGGAGTTAACCTAGTTTTCAAATTAATATTTTGGCCACACGTGTAAAATGTTTGTAATAAAATGGAAGAAACAATTGGCATGCTAAACGAAATCAAATTCTACATGACGAAAAGTTTACTGAACATGTTGAACAAATGAATTTGAGCTCCGTGCATCATATACTGCAACACGGTATGGGCAGACAACTATACTAAAGCATCACTAATCCAATGAACTTAATGATGAAGAGAGCCGTGCTTACATTAAAGTTATCAAGAAATCAAACCCATTATTTGACTTGAATGACAGTCTTAACTTTGCTACCTAAATTTCTTTCAAAAACAGGTGACAAAAAATTTCCTCCTGTTTTTAATGAATAGGTCTAACCTTTTGAAATCGGAAGACGTATATAATCAGCCAAAAAAATTTATACCATCATCCTCTACGCAAAAGACTCGGACCTGGTATGACATTTTGGAAAAAAACATTCAATTTGATTTAATAAACAGAATGAAATTCATAGCGAAAATTTAAAAACCAATTAACAAATTTAATTTATGTTGAACGTTTATAATTTCAAATAACATTCATATTTTTGGTTCTTTTATTAAGTTGAGGGAAAAACAGTTAAATTTTTAGAAATTGGGGTATATATATTTAATTGATCGAGGGATCGATGGATCGGTTGATTGATTTGATTGATTGATTGATTGATTGATTGATTGTTTGGTTGGTTGGTTGGTTGGTTGATTGATCGATCGATCGATCGATTGATCGATTGATTGTAGTTAGCGACGTTACATTTTTCCCATCTCTTATGAATAGTAATAGTGTGTTTTCAATTGACTTGTTAAATAATTAAATAGATGACATAAATAGGTGGATGTCTGACATCAGTGCTGTTTTTACTCTAGAGTAAAATTTACAATTGGAAGAAATAAAAGCAATTGCAATCTAAAGTTCCATATATGCATATAAATAGTAATGTGTTCTTCGCTTAACGATAGTTTCAAGCGCCTAATAATAATTTAAACCGGTGTATAAATGTGGTTTTTGAAAAACATCTCTTCCAAATTTCATTAAGTTCATTTTTCATTTCATTTAAATTTTCTGGGAGATCTTTTTTGTTGTCGGTGTTCTGTTCTTCTATCGTTCCGGGTTTACGATTTTTTATTACATTAGTAATTTACTACTGACATAAAAATTGTAAATGAATAAACAAATAAATATAATAACCGTTAACATTTTAAGAACTCCTTAGAATACTTCTTAATAAATAAATGTAAGTAACTGAAAGAAGAGGAAGTGTAAATGTGTAAAACTGTAAAGAATAAAATAACATGAAAAGTTTAATAATTTATTTTTAATTTAATTTAATTTTTAATTAATACATTAAAAAATAATAAATTTTAGTAGAACTAACTAAAAATAAAAGTTAGAATTTAGATTGGTACCACAAAATGATCAGATTGGTTTACAAAACCAATTTTTAAATTTATGGAGGAGTCTAATAATAATGGATTGATTAATTAAGTCATTCTTTTTTTTAAATTAAAAGTGAAATAAAAATGTAAAATAAAAGGTTTTGTGGATTTATATTAACACTGTTAATAGAGTTGATTTAATTTTTTAATAAGTTTGATTAGGCAATAAAATATTTTAAAAAATATTTGGGATTGTTTAAAAATACCAACTATACTATTACAAATATTTTAATTTATCTTTAAAAAACCAACCGCTAACCCAAATAATTTTACTTTTAAACCCTGACCTTGTTATTAAGGATTGGCTCCTCCTCACATTTAAAAACCATTTTGTAAATAATAATGGATGTGGAACCAATCTAACATTTCACAAAATAAAATATAAAAACTAAAACTAACTAAAGTGAAATAAAAGTGTTAAAAAGTTGAATGAAATGAAAAGTATTCTAAAGTAAACCAGTAAATGATTAAACTTAAAAAAAACTGAAAATTAATTTTCAGTTAGAAAACAAAATTTAGAAATAATACAGTTAAACTCCAAACTGGAAATTTATCCTGTTGAAAGTGTGCAATAAAAATTTACAAACTGCACTGACTTTTTTACTCTTCTGATATAAATATTAATAAATAATTAAAGACTGTTGACTGTGTAACAGTAACAGACAGATAACCGAGGAGTGGTTGGTAAAAAAACTAACTGATTAAACAATACATGAAAATTATGGAGGAGGAGCAAAGGCCTCTGATTGAAGCGACAACAGTTTTTGAAGACCAAACTATTGATGTTGTCAGTTGTGACAGACCACTGTGGAAAATCAGATTGTCATTCATCTTGGTGTTGGCTGCAGAAGTGGCAGAAAGATTTGCTTTCTATGGTTTACTGTGTAATATGGCCTTATTTCTAAACTCAGATCCTTTGTTATGGGCTTCATATAATGCCATCAACGCTATCCTAATATTTACCGGTGTTTCATATTTCATGACATTATTAGGAGGATGGTTGGCTGATTCATGTCTTGGAAAATACAAAACCGTGATTCTTTTCTTTCTGTTTTATGTTGGTGGATACAGCATGTGGCCATCTTTGCATAATTCTAAATTGAATTCGGATTGTAAATCTCGATCTGAGGCACCGTCCTGGTGCTCTTCCATTGCACATAATGGGTCTTACGATAATTCCACTATATATGATATTTCCTATGACAGAGTGTCTCTAAGCGAAGAGAGGTGTTCTTGGGCTGTGTTTTTATCATTGACTATAATTGCTATTGGCTATGGAGGTGTGAGAGTGAACATTGTTCCATTTGGAGCTCTGCAAGTAACTGTTTTGAATAATTCAAATGAAATATTATTTGATGTAGAAGTAGAGCAAAATGTATAATATTTTCAACTTTTATTAATTTGTTTTATTGCCAAAATTATAAAATTAGCTTCTTGAATGTGTTTTCCATCCTGTCTTCTTTATTTTTAAATAAATTCATTCAAATTAAACTTCAGTACTGCGTTTAAAGTGTGTGATGCTTAATTAATTAGTCAATTAATTTTATTTAATTAAAAATAATTCAGGTAGAAGATCAGGGAAGTCATTCGTTGAGGGTGTACTTTAACTGGTTGTATTGGTGCATCAATGTTGGCTCGTTCCTGGCCTACCTGGTGCTCGGTTACGTGCAACAGAACATCAGCTACTTCTATGGCTACCTTGTGCCACTCTGTTCTCTCCTACTTGCGTGGATCATATTTGCATCTGGTGGTGGCAATTTTTTTTTCATCTAAATTTATTCTACAATTGCTTTGACTAGATTTTTCTGGGGGTTTTATTGGTTTTAATTTTTATGATAAGCCACCTGAAGTTCTGTTGAATGTTTTGTCAATTGAACAATTTCACATATTTTCACATATTGAAGAAATTCATTTAACATTAAGGCAAATGGATTGTGTTTCACTTGAAATAGATTAGAATTAATTGAATTTGACAGTTTGTGTGGGTGGTAAATATCATTTGAGATTCAATGTTAAGTGGATTCTTCATGTTATAATGCGCTTTTGTGGATCTTTTAGATGCTTAATATGGGGCATGCCAATGCACGTTTAGTTAATTGTAAACAAACTTCACATTGTTAAAGGGCTTTTCTTATATGTGAGAAAGAAGGAAGCTGGTAGTAGTCCATTGACAGACGTCATCAAGGTTCTTATTTCTTCCATCAAATATTCTTGTAGGAAAGCTCACGTGCTGGAAAATGAGGAGTTCGTTTCTAATTTTTGTTTACTTTTTCTAGAATTTTTGTTCATTTAACAGTTTTCAAAGTTTTTTTTTATTTTTATTCATTTCTAAAGTTAACAAATCTGCCAAATATTTGTCAAGTTGGCGTCAAAAGTTCTTTATTAGAAAGCTGTTCAAATATTCATTCTTCAGAGATTTTATTGAATCTCAGTAGCCAACAAACTTGGGGTTTCTATGTAGTTGTTATAAATTATGACATATTATCATAATTGCCTGATGCATTATTATTAATACAAATTAATGATAATTATTAAGTGAATTATTATTATTAAATGTTATTGCACTGATTTTTCCATTAGTGTTCAACCAAGCGATGATGACATGATACTTGAAACATCATCTGACGTAGTTTATCCGTCCTCGTCATCTACATCATGTCTTGACCGAGCCAGTTTCTCAAATGGTGGAGATCGTCCCGAACAACATGTTCACGATACTAAAATGTTCTGCAAGATTTTGGTCGTCCTTTTGAGTATGATTCCTTACTGGACAATATATTATCAGGTCCAAGGCTTGCTACATTATAATTTTCTAATGATATTTACTCAAGAAAAACTTAAGTATTATACAATGTATCTTGGTAATTGAGACTGATTGTTAACATGTTTTATAAACAGATGCAGACGACTTTTTTTGTGCAAGGCTTGCACATGAAATTAGATTTCAATGCAACCAACATGACTGTGAATGATTATGACAACGTAACCTTTAAAGTAATTTTTTATTATATACTTTTGAAATTTGATAAAAGGTGTGTATATATATATATATATATATATATATATATATATTGATGTTCGGCATTAGTTAACTTCCCATTTAACTTTTCGATTTTTCTAATGGTTGATCGTAAATCATTTTCAAGTTTCTTTTGTTCAAAACCAAAATTTTTGTTTGTTTTATGTATGATAGAACAGAAAAGCTTTTTCTGACATTCCTATACCATCTTTGGTGTTCAAATTGATATGTTGTGGTTGTACCCAGATGATTAAATATTTTTATACTGCCTTCAAATAGGCAGAACACCGAAGATGGTATAGGAATTTGAATTAATTTGAAATCAGTTTTTACTTTTTTCATTCAACATCCATCCAAACAAGTTTGCTAAAACTTTTGGCGCACTGTTCAAAATAAATAAGTATATATATACCTTCTAATTCAATAGTTTAAATTAATTGTACCACATGAACAGCTTCCTGCCACTTGGCTCTCGCTATTCAACATAGTATTTATAATCTTACTGGTACCACTACTCGATCGAGTCATCTATCCATTCTTTGACTCGAGACAAATCAGCCCAACACTCAGATTGAGGATCTTGACTGGAATGTTCTTTAGCATGATAGCAATGATTGTTGCTGGAATTGTTGAGAGAATAAGACTCGAGATTTACTGGGGATCGGACAACATCGGATATCCTCACATTCAGATCATTGGTTTGTTTTGTTTGCACTTTATTTCAATTATTCCAAATTTTAATCTTTTTTGATTTTGTTGTTTGATTCATTTTATAATAATTTTCTACTGACAAATATTTAGGTGAGAAATAATAAAAATGGAATTTACAAGGTTTCGAAACTATTGATTACTGTTTTATTTTGAATCGAGTTTGAACAAGCAATTTTAAAATTTTTCATACTCAATGTTTGAGTAAATGAACAATTAATTTTTGTTTCAGCTTGTACAACATATTATGCGGCAAATATGTCAATCTTCTGGCAAGTTCCTCAATATTTGTTACTGGCACTTAGTGAAGTCTTTTCAAGCATTGCAGGTATATCACATTATCTCGTGTAATAAAAACGCACTTGAAAATATGCATACAAAATTTCATTAAAATCTGCAGGTTTAGAAATGTCTTACATATATGCCCCCCGCTCCATACAGTCCATGATCATGGGCATGTTTTACTGGAGCCAGGGAATCGGAGCCATTTTGGGGTTCGTAGTTGTCATGGCCACAGAGGGATCATGGTTTCCGAGGTATGATTATGGTAACATCAATTGCAGGGTTTCTCCTTTCAATTCAACATTGGCAAGTCTCGATGACCATCCAGACAAAATGGAAAACAATTGTCATCTTGATTATTATTTCTTCACACTGGCAGGCATCCAAGTTGTTGGAGCCTTGCTATTTTGTTTGGTATCTTGGAGCATGGATATAGGGGGCACGGCATCTGTGAGAGTTCAAAACCAAGGCATGGTTGTCGTTAAGCCATCGTCACAGAAGTCACCAGCAAAAGTTAGATCTCGTAGGGTAAGACAGGATAATGACCAATTCTATTATGGGACATAAACGCTTTTTTCAATCAGCTTAACTCAAACCGAACTAACAGATTATATCTACTGATTGTCACAATTGTAATCATCTTCTGTTGTTATTATTGTTAATGTTGTTAATAATATAGATCCACAAGGAACAGTATTTATATTCCGCGTAAAGGCACTCAGTTCTACTGCATTTTTTTTCTAAATTCCGATTACTTGCTATCAAATTTTATATATATTACTTTTTTGGCTAAATATTTGTCAATAGAAAATTATATGACAAGCCAAACAAGTCAGAAACTGTTACCAGTCAAATTAAATAATTTCCATACAATGAATCAGTATTTGTTCTACCCTGTTGAGTTATTTGCGATCAAGCGGACTTGAGAATGCCAAATTGAAATATTGTTTTTACCGTATTATTTTATATTCGCTACACATTCGTGAATTCTATATATTATTTTATAGTATCGTTGCAGTATTAACTAGCTACATTTTTGTAAACCAACTAAGAACTATACAAAGCCTTCTATTGAAATGTGATAATGATTTATTGTTATATTCATGACATAGAAATAACTTTATTGGAATTAATTGATCAAGATTTATTATCTTCATAGACTAATTTGATTACATGATACTATATATAACGTTGTTTCATTATATACAAACAGGTTTTTTTCATTAAAAAGTTATTGATCTGTACAGCCAAAAATGTTCAACTAAAAAAAATCTTGTGCTTTTTGTTTTTTTGCAGGCAACTTTAGAAGGTTGTCAGTTAAAAAACTATCGTCGTTCCATTTGTTTTCGTTGCTTTTGGCGGATTTTCTTTTCGGCGAAGGATCAGAAGATTTAGGTGTCATCTTTGGTGTTAGTTTTTCAGAACCTGGTGTGTTGCAAGGACTCGGAGTGTATGAAGCCTTCAATGAAGAATTTGAATTGATACGTAACTTGCTGCTGACCAGCCGTTGAGCTGCTGGTGATAAGGACTGCAGTCGTTCCGTCCTTGACATGAATGATCGTGGCGAGCTGCAAAAAATTTAAAATAGCATTGAAATTATTAGTGTGGCTTCGTAAAATTATTTCAAAAAGTCTAATTAAATTAAAATGTTAGAAACCGAACGTCAAATTTTATAAGATATTTTATTCTGTGAAATGCATAAACTAATTTTGAAAGTGAGCAACAAGAGAACCAATAAAATTTTTGTGGTCTAACCTAGAGAACGTGGCAGCAGCTTGTTTCAGGGCTTCCATTTTCTTTGCTCTGTGTGCTTTACTGGCTTTGTCAGCTAACTGGTGCAACAGTCTATCTCGTTTGGGTACCTCAGGAATTTTAAAATTGGGTCCTGAACCACTGCCAAATCTTGGTGTTTCCATTCCATCCAACCTGAAAGGTGTGCCTTCAATCTCACCCCATGTCATAAAAGGGGAGGCATCAACGCCTGTGTAGTGTAAAAAGTAGGGGTTTTAGTATAATTCAATTGTATGCGATATCACGTTTTGCCTCTTTATCATTCAACCTTTCACAAGCTGTGAAATCTTTTCCTCACATCACAAATCATTTTTCTCCATGTCTTTCATTACTTTTTGTTTAAGTTTCAAACGAATTCTTTCTCTTTTTATCTTATTATCCATAATTTACATTTTGGGCGCATTTTAACTTTCACACCAGCTGCCAAAGTACATCATTTAAATACAAGTTTACATTTACCAGATTTTTTCCTAGCTTACAAATTGAACTAAGTTTCTTTTTTTACAACACAAACACCATGTTTTTCAGACATTTCGAACCTTAAAATAATCAATAAAAGTTGAAATAATCATGAAAAGTTTAAAAGCTTCATAATAATGGCAGAATTGGCTAACGCAATTTTTTTTATTTCAAATTTCTAAAAAGAGATAAATAAATAAATGCATGAGATGAAAAACTGACCAGGAGCTGGAGAGGGAGTGGGCATGATCTTGTACCCATTGATGGTTGGAGTTTCTGTGGGCAATAACTCCTTACCATCAGGTCCTACCTTGCCTTCTAACTTCAAAATTTGATTTGATATTACATTGTTCCTATTCATACTGTCGGGTTGCACTTGTGAAAAAGGTTGAGTGGCAAATCGAGTGTTGGAGTGGAGGATTTCTTGTTTTTGCAATTTACTCATCTCCAACTTCTCCGATGCTGAAAGCTCCACACCTGTTTGAGGTTATCCATTCATTTGTTTCATGCTATATCACATGTGGAAAAGATTTGAAACATTGGCAAAATAATACAGGTAGGGTAATCGGTTAAAAATCATGAGTGAAATTAAAATTGAAATAACCTTCAGGAACATACATGACAGCATTTTTCGCCACATAATTCCATGTGTCAACCTGCTTCCTATCTTTGTTGTCCTGAGAAAAAATGTTAATATTTAATGTTGCTCTATATCACAGAATTAGTTCTCACATAAACCACAAATTACATAGTAGACATCACTTCAACAAAAAAACAAGTTATTAATTAAGGATAAATGTAGTTTTTTAGTTGAAAGACAAAAATAATGAAGATTGTAATCAGCAAAGAAAACAGCCCACTTCTATCTGAAGTTGTTCCTTCTTATAGAGCCAGGCATGTTTCATTTGATGTCTCTTCTGAGCTTCAGACATGATCTCACTGAATGCCTTGTCATCTTCACTCGTGTACTTCCTCATGTAACTGTTTAGTGATAGCTTCGATAACTCCTGGTCTGTTGTTGTGCATGTTTCAAATTCATTTCTAATTAGCAACTTTTAAAATTTTAATTAATGGCTATACAACTAGAAATTGATTTTAGTGCAGGCTGTTAAGAAAAATTATCATCTTCTTGCCACCACCATCATCATCAACTTATTCTCATCATCTTCATCTTACCATCTTAATCAACATCCTCCAAAAAAGTCATCACTTATCATCATCATCTCACAATCTTCATCATCATCATCATAAGCAACAACAAACCTCTGGCCTCCTCAGGGTCAGGATTGTGAGTTGGAGCTTCAAGCTTCTTCTCAGCATTCTGCGAGGTTGCCATTTGTGAGGCTGCTGCTGCTGTTGTGTCTGTCTTCTTCCTGCTGTCAGTGCCTCCTGGAGTCTGCAGAATGCTTGCTTCGGGGGTTTCAAATGTTGACGGTGTCCCATCTGCAAAGAATCAATAGTTTTGCATTTGCCGCTTGATTACATGCTTCATCGTTTGTGTCACTGTTTCGCTTGGTCAGTTAAATTAATTTTTTAAAATAAATTACTCATTGAGAAGTAAAGAATACTTGTGGCATAAAAAAAATTTGTAAGCTGTAATATTTTAAGATACAGCAATATTTGTTAAAAAATTCAATAAAACACAATTATGTAACATTGATACACACGCAACAAGTATTTCAAAGTCAAAACAAAGGCACAAGGCAACATTGGAAAGTTTTCTAAAATGTAAAAAGATAAAAAATAAACTGTGGATAGATGAAGAATGAACATTTACATGTGGATGGTGTGTTGGTAGCCCTCTTCATCGAGTACTTCTGCTGGAGCTCCCACATCTTCTGCACGTCTTTCCTCTCAACAGCATCCATATATTGCAACTGTGCTTTCATTTTTTTCAGATCAGGAAAGAAATCACGCTCGATAATTTTTTCTATATTCTGTTTCATACAAAATTAATAATTTTTCAAAAATTCAGCTATGCCATTAGCATCATTGTCAAAATAAAACAGATCAATTGGTGGTCTCATGAACAGTCAGTCAAAAAAACAGGCAATCATTGGAGGGTTGAATTAAGTTGCTATCAATGAACGATCAAGATAACATGAAGAATATGTTCTTTAATGTTGGCATCTTAAATTAAATTATTAGAATTCATAAATTTTAATTTAATGGAGGAAAATGCTTCAATGATGCATGATACAAGTTTATTTCTGTCATTAGTCATTCATCAGTGCCATTTTGTACAAAGTATATAATCCTCTCTTTGATTCAGTTTAACTTTAGACATGTTTTGTTTAGCCAACCCCAAATAAATTAGTAAAATTTTTACTCAATTTTTTCAATTATGATTATAGTGAAGTTTAAATATAAAAAAAAAATTTTCAGGTTTTTCATCATATTGTATTATAATTATATGTGATGAATGAATAATCCAATAATGAATAATCATTTTAATTTTTAGAAACAAAATTTAGTTAGTTGGTACAGTTTTTTTAAAAATCAGCCAATTATTACAGTTTACTATATTTATTTTAAATATTTTAATTATCTGTTATATTTATTTTAATTGAAAACAAATAAAAATATTTTATTTGTATATAAATTATAAGTTTATAAATAGCCATAATAAAAGAAAAGAAACATTTTTTTTATAAATAATTAATAACGAACACCAAAACCACAACACAAAAGTGGAAAAGGCTGATTCCCAAATTAATCGAATTAAAACTGAAAACGATAATATTCAATAAAATTTCAGACAACGAAGGGATTATAAATAAAAAACTAACGGCAGTGTAAGATTCTTCATCCAAAACTTTCGGCTCTAGAGATTTCTTCATGTTCATTCCGTTGTTGTTTTTATTATTATTGGAAGTAATTTGAGCCAGAGCTAACTTGCTCAGAGTATCCATAGCCATAATTTGACAATATAAATAAATATTAATTTTACTTAATAAATTTTTGATACAAATATTTAATTAAACAAATATTTAATAAAACAAATAATTATAAAATAAATCCGTCAATTATCAACTTTCTTCACGTATTTACGATCTGAGTGAGTATGTAGGTAAACAAAGCATAGACAAAGCAGAAAGTACGTTGTACAATTTTACGTTGTTTACATGGATATTATTAATCCAAATTAATCTGTTTTATAAGTTTTATACATGGATATATATATCCATGGTTTTATATTATAAGATAGAATCAATAACATAAAATAAATTTTATTTAAACGTCAATGCGCGCTATATTTTTAGAATTTTCCGTAAATTTTTAATGTACATCCAGTTTATTACCTTACATACAAAGCAGAACACAACAAACCTCACAAACGTATGAAAATGACATATTTTTAAGACAAAGATGGAAGAAAGAAGGGCCCTCAAAATAGGAATATATTGAGATATTTGCAGCTACAGATAATGCCAGCTCCAATTGGTTTGACAGGGCGGAATACAACAAAAATTTTTTTAGGGTTATTGGAACGTCAAAGAAATGCGTAAGACATGTTCAAGGATATTTGTGTAACGCAGGATTTAACCAAATCTGAAAGAGATCAGTGTAAAAGTATAGTCAAGGCAGCAAAGAATGCAGCGAATGAAATTATTATTTTATATCCATTTTATATAAATATATATATATATCGATTTTATAAATAATATATATATATATATATATATATATATATATTATTGATTAAAATCACAGCATGTTCGGCGTTAATTAACTTCCAATTTAACTTTTCGATTTTTCTAACAGTTGATCGTAAATCATTTTCAAGTTTCTTTAGTTCAAAACCAAAATTTTTGTTGGTTTTATGCATGATTTTGTTTTAACAATTTAAGATATGCTGATGATACAGCTCTTATAGCAGATTTATTAAAAAAACTGCAAACAATTGTTTCCAAACTGGTTTTTGAAAGTTTACCTCTATAAAACCTCGATTTTTTAATTAAAATAGAAGTTTTTGATAACTCTCGTGTTTTTCCCATCAATGTGTAAAAATGTGTAAAGCATAAAGATAGCGTTTCTTGTGCCACAATCCTCTACAAAACTTCATTGAACACTTGAAATTTCAAATCTGATTTTGCTTCGTGCTCTCATCATCAAAATTCTCAAGAGAAGTTGATGGAAAAGACATGAATCAAGAAATCAAAGGCACTAAATGTAAAGTTAATACGGTCTTAGTTTTTATTGCCGTATTGTTCCTTGGTATATAAGTATTTGTTTTATTGAAATTTCCTTATCTAAAAAATTTTTTTCGTATCTTAGTTTTCTGTTAGAAATACGTTCATCAAGATATTTAGTTATTTTTAAATTTTTCTATCACTGTTATCTCTTCTCGATGAAGTTGGTTTTTTTTTATCTCTATTGGTAATCCAACAACAATCATATTTATTCTTTACAATTTAGTGGCATTCCTTTCAGCTTCTAAACATAAATTTTCCTTAGCTAAAACATAGTCTATTAAAGAACTGCCTAAATATTTATAATTATATGCCGTTCTTATTTTTTTCAAGTCTTCATCTGCAAAAACTTTCAGCAAAGATTTTCTCCATTAGGATCAATTACCTAACCCAATTTTTAAAAAAAATTGCAGTATACCAATTTTCTGGTGAACCAGATAAAAAAAAATGAAGGTCCTTTATCATATCAGTAGCATTAAATATTTCGTGTATTATGCACCCATTTTCAAATCTTTCTAACCAATCGGTAGAATTTTGACTTTTGTTAAATTTGTCCAAAATAAACTAAACTTTTTTCTATTTCACGTAACCTAATTTTGCAATCTAAATTTAATTTTGCTTCCAATTTTCTCAAAAACAAATTTTCTTTTCATCCAATTTATTTTATCGCCGCGATTGTGTTCTTTATTATTCGTTTTTGAAGATGAAATTTGGTGTGAACTTAAATCATTATACTCATCGGGTAGATTATACCCCAACTGTTTATTTCAAAAAACTGTTTCTTTCGACAATCCCGCTAATTCAAAATCATTATCATTTTTTTAATTATGTAAAAAAATAACTTTTCTGAAACTGAAGCCATCTATTTTTTTCCTTTCTTCTTCTTTTTTTGAAATAATAACTTGCTATTAATTTTTGAAGATAAGTACACTGAAAGCAAATAACAAAACAATTAAAAATACTTATTTAAATCGCCACAATTCGGGAAAATGGACATTGGTCATACTGTACTAATGAAGGTTGTAAAGCTTAATGTCAAAAACTATTCAACAATTTAGAATATGCAAAGAAAAATTTAAAAGACGAAAATTCTGTGCGCAAATGCAGGCAGTCTACTAAACAAGAGATTAATGTTAAACAATTTACTATCTGCACAAAAGTGAAACCAAAATTTTTAGCGGTAGCCTAATAGAGGTTAAACCAAAAAATCTCAAGTGCAAATAAATTTCATTAAAATGGCTACAAACTGTTTGGAAATATTTTGAGGAGGCTGACTCGAAAGTTATCTTAGTATATACTAGCGAGAAACTGTGTTTATACAGCAAAAATTTAAAAAGATTGTGTGCGAATGTTAAAATTAAAAGAAACAATCCTGGCAAAGGTATAAGTGTCACCGTTGAATATAGGAGTACTTGATTAAAAAAATGAGCTGAAACTCTGTAGAGCAGACGAATGAATCAGGAATTTCTAGGGGGTTCGATAATGGTCATGTAGACTGGAGTCAGTGGAAAAAAAATCAGAAAAACTTTTGCAAACAAATTTTCATCTACTTTGAGAGCAAACTTTCAATTACTGCACGTGAAAAAAACAACAATAGACAAGGAAAATCAAGACCTAATTAGAAAAGAAGGTAGAGAGTTCCAGAGAAAAGTGCCTGAAAAAGCAAATGTATAGATTCAGCATAAGTGTGTTTAACAGGAGTTAAAAAAAGTAAGAACAAAAAGACAATCGTAAACCGGGAGCTTAGGTTTAATTAATTTATCTGATAAAGTAACATATGCAGTTATTTAAATCCTTTAACAAAGATAGAGATAGTATCTCCGCTAATAATATAGTTGAAAACAGATGGACAAAGTTGAGGGGAGATTTAGAAGAAAGTATTGAATTTACGTACGTATAATGGACACATCCAATGATTAAAGAACATAGAGCAGCAATAAAACAAAAGCGTTGGTTATGCAGAACAGATGATGAGAAACAACGAATAAAGACATCGGGGAACGATACAAAGAACAAAACAAACTCTGTCAAAAAAATATCTAGACAATCGGAACAATATCAACAATGGTCTATAGAAAAAAAAGCAAATCCCAAAAATGTGTAAATTTGTACGATCTAAAACACACATGCATGTGGAGACGCAGAGCTTTAAAGTATCATAAAAACGTGACCAATGATGACATTGTAGTAAAAGAAGACCGAGACATAGCATCCGTTTTTCAGAGGTATTTACTCTGGAACCGGAGTGAGAACTTGAAACTCGATAATCCTCCAAGTCCGGATCAACAATGCTCAAGAGTTTTGTACGAAGTAAGAGAAAAGTCTGTCGAATTGCTAACGAATTTCATTTATTGTTTCATCGAAATTTTGTAAAATTCCAAAAAATTGAAAATTTGCTGAAATGGCAGGAATATTTTGAAAAAGTGGGAAACAGAGGTTAAAATTATAGACCTGTCCGCCTAACAGGTATTTTTTGTAAAGTTTTTGAAATTGTCTAAGTGATCATATCATGAAGTATTTCAGGTTTAACAATCTATTAATGCGATAAACAATATGGCTTCATGAAAGGAAGGTCTGCTGCTCTGCAGCACCTGCACGGCCTGGATAAATGGACATCAAGCCTTATTTTTACCTCTGTTTCCCACTTTTTCAAAATATTCCCGCCATTTTAGCAAATTTTCAATTTTTTGGAATTTTTGTCACGTCGACTGCATCTTATATACAAGTTTTTTTGAAGGAAGGTAGTCACGTCGACTGCATCTTATATACAAGTTTTTTTTAATAATAATTGACAGCTTTTTAGCTACCAATAATTTTGTATGTAAAATTGTGGATAATGATGCCGGCTCAGAGCTTATGACTTGACACATAAAAAAAAGGTCAGATAAATCAACAACACGCCACAAACATCATATGTGAAACATGCTTATCCACGCACCACATACGAAGCATGTGACAGGCAGAATCGTCTTGCCATATTCGAATTGAACCCGGTCACTGCGAAACAGCAACCAAGCGACCTCAACCACTGGGCCATCACGGACCCCAGCATTGAAACTCCAAAGTTTAGTGCCAGTGCGCCTGATATATAGATAAGTACATATAACTATCAAGAAATGAATTAAATATATGTAAAAATATACGTAAAAATATATGTCCTGGTTATGACATTAAACTGACCCTCACTGCCTTGTGAGTGATGTTGGATCATCAAAGGCTAGGCCCACCGCTTATAACTGTGGTTGCGTAAGGAAGGGCGTCCTGCGTAAAAATTAGCCAAATAAATTACTTATGATGACAGAAGTTTCATCATAGGTAGCCAAACGGCAACCCCCGATCTCGGGGAAAATGTCGTCTAAACGTGTGTTGTTGTATATATATAAAATATCGATACAAATTTTTAATTGTTTACAGTGGATTCAAACTAAAGGATAATCTGCATTTTTTTTACTCCTGTTCATTTACTATCAAAAAATTACAATAACAACGATCATAAATTATAAAATGTATGCAAATACAAATTCGTCTTTTGGTCTCCATACAAAATTTCGTAAGAGTCGCTGTCCTAGACAAGTTCAACCCCCAGAAACATAAAAGCTAATTAAACTACAAAGATCTCGCCCATCAAGTTCGCGTGACACCCATGTGTAAAGGCACTAACTGTTACTGTAAAAACATACGTATGGCCGAATTTTAGCGAAAAAAGTATTAGAAAATAAACTTTCAATCCAAATTCAATTCAGTTAAAATCTATTCGTTAGCACGCAACGATATATTCGACGGCTCAAAAATTCAACAGCGAAATCAGTTGTTGGAAGGGAAGAACAACGATTAAATGACAAATGACACGTGGATTATTTACAGCGGATTTTGAAATGAAAAATTATTTATTGATTTTCTTAGATTTCAAAGCTTGTCCCTCTCCCGTGAATGCCGTAAATTTGACGCTGTCATCTTCTTTTTTCTGTTAAATTTTTTATTGATAGAATTACCGACATTGCCCTATCGTGTTTATTCTATTATAAACTTTAACAACATTGATGTTATGCATTCATAAGAATTGGTGCAGGAAAACTCAATATAATGATACCTGCCACAGCTAAAATACAAACGTGTAGGTCAAATAGTATAGTTCACTCTTTTGAGATTCAATGAATTATATAACAATTTCAAAATTAGTTCAAACTTAAAATCATCAGATATCTTATGACCTACACTTAAGTATTATCAAAAAGGATATCACAAAATATTTCTTCAAATATTGAAATGAAATAATAAGATTAAACGATGAGTTTAAATGTAGCAGTGACTTACAATAGCACCATTCGTATTCTTCACCGTCCTGATGAATGTAATTTTGCCTTTCTTGAAATTATAATTCGGAATTCCCCTGAGGCAGAAATCAATTTGCAAAATGTAAGTTAGAAACATTTCAATGGTCATCTCGCCCAACTTCAAAGCGGAGTAACACGATAAAACAAATTAAAAACCTTTTAATTTCAACAGGCTCATTCGTTACTGAATCATTTTGACATGTTTTGATCTTGCCATCTAATCTGTTGCCTTGCCCGACGAAGGCCTGCATGATCGATCATTGCATTGTAATTAAAATAATGCTAGTAGTGAATTAAATTAACGGAATGATGTATGAAGATGATGGCAGGCAGGTTGGAACTAATAAGAGGCAACATGAATGGGAAATTGAATAGATAGATTTTTAAAATTGTAAAATGATCAACAATAATGGAATAAGTAAAGAACGCACTTTGAAAACTGTTTGGTGTGTATATTGAGAGGCATCAACGTCCATCTGCTGATTAAATAACAAGACAAAGTTTATTTCAACTGCAACAGACTTAAATTAAATTAGTAGTAGGTGCAAATGGCAAGAAAACAAAATGTTGAAAATTGAACTTTTTGAAGAAAACTGTCAACGAAAGCAACAACACGTTACATAACTACAAACAACAAATGCATACTGTTCGCAGACGACACCAACCTTCTTTTCACTTCCAACAACCTACCTGATTGCTCTGAACTTATCAATCTTGAACTCCAAAAATACTCTAACTGGGTATCCAATAACAAACTAATCATAAATTACTCGAAATGTGCATACATTATTTTTGGCCCAAAAATACTCACCAACCAAGCTCCTAACCTAAACCTATTAATTAACGGCGTTCCTATAAACCGCACCCTGTCAACCAAATTTCTTGGAATCACCATCACAGAAAATCTTTCATGGAATTCTCACCTACAAACTACCTCAGACAAAATCAACAAACTCACAGGCATCTTCTACAAAATCAAATATAAACTCTCTCTTTCTGCTCTTCGCACGCTTTATTACACATTCATCTACCCTTATCTAACCTACTGCATCACACTATGGGGAAATAGTCCAAAAAGCCACCTGAATAACCTAATACTCTCTCAAAAAAGATCAATACGTTTAATTTTTAACCTCAAACCCAATTCCCATACAAAACCCTTCTTCCTAGCAAAAAAAATATTACCACTTAACTTCATCTGTCTTTAGTACTCTGCTTTATTTGTTTTTAAATTTATCAACAATCTTCTCCCACCTCACTTTATCAACTTCTACACGTTAAGTAACTCCGTCCAATCTACAACCACTAGACACACCCCTCTCTTCTATATCTACAAAACTCGCCTCAAATTAATCCAGACAAGCATAAAAATAACAGGTCATAAAATTTGGACAGAACTTGTACCTCCCCATCTAAGAGCCATCATAACCTACAACATTTCAAGTCAAAATTCCGTGCTTTTTTATTGACACTGGATCTCGACTTCACCACCTAATACTATATTAAGAATACGTTAGAACAAATGATGCGGATGAAGGGTCTTTATGAATGGTTAAACATTTATGTGTTTATATATGTACTGAGCGAACATAGTTATATGTCTATATATGTATGACACGAACATTTACTTATTTATCTTCAATTATCTTTCTGCTTCAGTTATTTTCCTTATTTTATTCCATTAGCTATTCATGTATCTACCTGTGGTGGCCACCACAAGGCAAACAGTCTTATTCGGTCTCCACATATTCAACTTCATAACTTTTATTCACTTATTTGATATGTTGTTGATTATGAATAAACTTTGAAAATTAAAATTACTTAAATTAAAATTAATTAATTAACAAAACCACAAAAAATGCAACACCAATTCAAACAACAACAACAACAACAGCAGTGATGCAAATAAACAACAGCATCCATGTAAATATCAGCAAGACCAACCTCCTCATCATCATTGTGGCTGGCACTACTTTTTGTTGGTTCCTCATAACCAACTGGTGGCGCAAAATCAACCTGTTCATTAAATTTATACATCAAGTTGAACATCTCTAAAGTGATTCAAATAATTTTTTTAAAATTGATTCAAATAGTTTCATTAAGTTCATTGAATTTCATATAATTTAAATTTAAAATAAACTATAAAAATTAATATAACAACTAATTATTATTTATAAACAACAACAAATTAAATTAATTCAACTTGCAAATTAAGTCTCAAATAATGATAAAAAGCTTTTTTTATAAAGATTGAACGAAAAATTACAAAAAAAATTCACACAAACATAAGTAACATTTTCGTTCAAATTATAAATAAGTAAACTCTTACATTCATGTCACATTCTATTATCGAAACAGCATTATTTGGCTTGGTTTCTAAAACTTTTAATTCGTATATCTGGAAAATAATAATATTAACTTAATGTTACATTACATTATATATTTAATTAGGAATAACCCATGAATAGCATTTCGAGTAACTTAGTTGGCAGATACTTACTCGATCATTGTAGTTTATAGCTATCATGTCTCCAGATGTCAGACAGGCAAAAGTCCTCAGAGCATTTTCCAAACTGAAATATTGAGAATATATCATCAATATTTCAAGATGCATTTCGAAAATTGTATTGTATGTTATCACCATGTTACAGAGCTATATGTTACTTTCTTAACAAACATTCACAATAATAATGGTAATAATACTAAACAATAATAATTCATGTCTGTAGATAATTCATGTTAAAAATGTATATTAATGAAAATATAAAATCATTAAATTAGGTGAGAAATGAGTCTATAACAAACACTGCTTTTTGATTAGTGATGTCGAGGAAGTCAATAGATTGGGCTTGGAACTTGGCATAAGAAGCCACGGCAAGGGAGACATTCTCAACATGCACAACTGATCCCTCCTCCAACAACAAGTTGTTCATCATCTGGTAGTGGTGTCAGGCGTTAAACAAAACGACTTCATAAGTTATCACGTGCAATAAACTGATCAAGTTGCAAATATTTTTCTATGTAGTTGGAATAAGAGCAAATGTATGTGAAACAAAGTGGAATGTTCATATATGTAATGATATGAATTGTTTGTGATGTGTAGGAAGATGAACCATTTCTGATGCATAACAAAGTGAACAATTTATGATGTGAAACAAGATGAACAGTTTGTGATGTTTAACAAGATAAAAGAAGCGTGTATGAAAGCTGAACACCCACCCAATAAGGAAGGTAGACACGCCCCTCGTCAGCAACAAATTCGAGCACCCCACAGTGCGTCACCCTATTTTCTTTTTTATTCTCAAGCTTGAACAACATTGGATACTGGATGTGCAACTTTGCTGAATCAGAAATATTTTGAAAGTGATATTAACTTGAAAAATTATTTCTATTGAATTTTCACAAAATAAAAAACCAACTCAGCCGGTCCAGGGCAGAAGGTGGTAAGATAACTGCAGAAAAAATATTTATTTTTAAGAGGTTTTTCGTGTAAATGAAACTAAAATAAAGACAAAATAGATGAAAAATTAAGATTACTTTTTCCTCCTTTTTCGACATCTGTTCTATCCTGTCCAGGCATCATGGAAACAGAGTAGCATTTATAATCTACTGAAAATGAGCCCATCATTTCGTTCTGCAGAATTCTCATAAAGTTAAACTGCAAAATTTAATCACGTCAATTTCAATCCATTTTTTTAAAATTTAAATTTGAATTTACAGTAAAAATTAAACCAACAAACAAATAAAACAACTAAAATTTTAAGACCAATTTCAAGCCTATTAAAACCAGGACATCGAACCGTAATTTTTTTTGTTTCGGTTTACGATTTCGTTTTTGCCAAACAAATTTCAGTTCCGTTTTCGTTCTTGAAATAATATCTTTCATGAAAAACTTATTTAACATGCATACCAGTCATCTATTTTCCTAACTTTTCCTAACATAATTGAAAACTAACATCTATTTTTTATGTGAAGATTAAATTTTTAATTAAATTAAAACAACTTTTGTTTTGCTTTTAAATGTTTTTTAGTTTAACATTTAATTAATTTAATCATTAATGAATATGTGTTTGTTTTATTTTATTCATTTATTTTTATATTGGGTTGTTGTTAAATAAAAATTAATAATGGAAAAATATAAAAACTGACTAAATAATACTGTTTTGACTGCTGAAAAAAGCATTAAGCAATTATTTATTTATATAACGATACCTTGCTAATTAAATTAAAATTAATTAAATAACTTTAAACAAGCAGTAAAGGAGTAAAAAAGTAAATGTAAGATGTAAAGTCTGTAAATGTGAACTAAAAGTTATTAAAAAAAAGTAACGTTTTCTTTTCAGCATAAAATTTTGAATTAAAAACAATTACAGAAGTATTTCAATCAGCCACTTAAGTGATTTTTAACTGAACTAGCCACGAACAGAAAACAACAGAAAAGACTGCAAGGAGTGAACGAATGAGTCAGCTGTTAATTCTTAAATAACAAATCATTGGATTGATTGAATTGATGCCCACTTTTAATGCAAAATAAACACCACCCGAACTGACCAGGCATTAATTTATTTTATTATTTATGAGATTACCTAAAAATGAACTAACCATATTTGGAAGATAAGTTTTCCTTTGACTCAAAACAATGAGCAAAAATATTAAATAATTGATTTTTGTTTTAAACCGAAAAGAGCAGCCGACTTAAGATAAGTTCGATATTTGAAGTTCGCTTTATAATTCTCTGGTAATATACACTATACCATGGAATTTTAAACTGGAATTGCCCTAACATGTTTCCCCCATTTTTCGCTATACTGGAAGCAAGAGAAACAATGACGTCAAGCATTGATTGGAACATCCATTATAATTGATGCAGAAGGACTCTCCAGCAAGTGATAGTTTGATTTGTAAAAAATACAGTGTAACGATATCATTGCTTCCAAGTTAACGTTTAGATCGAACGCTACACTTCATTCCTAATTCAATGATCGCATCTTTTTTCTTTCCTCCACTAGAAACAAGAGTATCGATGACGTTGCTGTCCATTATAATTAATACAAGGGTTTCCAGATGGCGATCGTTTACAATGTTAAAATGATGTAATGAATGTAACGGCGTAATTGCGTTCAGATTAACATTTAGAACAAACGCATAATACCATTTCCTATCCCTATATAATTTAAAGTTATATAAATATATATATATTATTAATGAAAATCACAGCATGTTCGGCGTTAATTAACTTCCAATTTAACTTTTCGATTTTTCTAACAGTTGATCGTAAATCATTTTCAAGTTTCTTTAGTTCAAAACCAAAATTTTTGTTGGTTTTATGCATGATTTTGTTTTAACAATTTAAGATATGCTGATGATACAGCTCTTATAGCAGATTTATTAAAAAAACTGCAAACAATTGTTTCCAAACTGGTTTTTGAAAGTTTACCTCTATAAAATCTCGATTTTTTAATTAAAATAGAAGTTTTTGATAACTCTCGTGGTTTTCCCATCAATGTGTAAAAATGTGTAAAGCATAAAGATAGCGTTTCTTGTGCCACAATCCTCTACAAAACTTCATTGAACACTTGAAATTTCAAATCTGATTTTGCTTCGTGCTCTCATCATCAAAATTCTCAAGAGAAGTTGATGGAAAAAACATGAATCAAGAAATCAAAGGCACTAAATGTAAAGTTAATACGGCTTGATGTCATAGTTTTTATTGCCGTATTGTTCCTTGGTATATAAGTATTTGTTTTATTGAAATTTCCTTATCTAAAAAATTTTTTTCGTATCTTAGTTTTCTGTTAGAAATACTTTCATCAAGATATTTAGTTATTTTTAAATTTTTCTATCACTGTTATCTCTTCTCGATGAAGTTGGTTTTTTTTATCTCTATTGGTAATCCAACAACAATCATATTTATTCTTTACAATTTAGTGGCATTCCTTTCAGCTTCTAAACATAAATTTTCCTTAGCTAAAACATAGTCTATTAAAGAACTGCCTAAATATTTATAATTATATGCCGTTCTTATTTTTTTCAAGTCTTCATCTGCAAAAACTTTCAGCAAAGATTTTCTCCATTAGGATCAATTACCTAACCCAATTTTTAAAAAAAATTGCAGTATACCAATTTTCTGGTGAACCAGATAAAAAAAAACGAAGGTCCTTTATCATATCAGTAGCATTAAATATTTCGTGTATTATGCACCCATTTTCAAATCTTTCTAACCAATCGGTAGAATTTTGACTTTTGTTAAATTTGTCCAAAATAAACTAAACTTTTTTCTATTTCACGTAACCTAATTTTGCAATCTAAATTTAATTTTGCTTCCAATTTTCTCAAAAACAAATTTTCTTTTCATCCAATTTATTTTATCGCCGCGATTGTGTTCTTTATTATTCGTTTTTGAAGATGAAATTTGGTGTGAACTTAAATCATTATACTCATCGGGTAGATTATACCCCAACTGTTTATTTCAAAAAACTGTTTCTTTCGACAATCCCGCTAATTCAAAATCATTATCATTTTTTAATTATGTAAAAAAATAACTTTTCTGAAACTGAAGCCATCTATTTTTTTCCTTTCTTCTTCTTTTTTTGAAATAATAACTTGCAATTAATTTTTGAAGATAAGTACACTGAAAGCAAATAACAAAACAATTAAAAACACTTATTTAAATCGCCATATGCAAACTAAAATCAATAGACTAAAAATAGGTCATTCGCTAGTCACCCATTCCTACGTCCTCTGAAAAAAGAACCCTTCTTTTGTGAAATTTGCAATCAGAATCAATCCACTCGTCATATACTAATAGAGAGTTTAAACCATACAATGAGATTAGAAATAAACTTCCATTGTTTGTAGAATCAATATTCCAAAATAAAAATCTGGAAGTTTTAATCTTATTTCTGAAGGAAATCGATATGTTAAACAAGATTTAAAGAGTTGAAGATCACCAGATACAAATAATCAGTATCGTGATGACCACAGAGCTCCTTGTGCTAAAACGCCGTTAAACTGCAAAAACAACAATTAATTTTTAAGATCGTTTTTATTTAAACCTGTAAAACAGTATTTAAATGGTTAAAAGTCAAATAATAAAATAATATAAAATAGTAAAAAAAAACACAGAGTTAAAGAAATACAAACCTGTAAAACAGTAATTAATTGCAGGTTCAGTACCACGCGAACAGCGCTTCAAAAAAAATGCGAAAGGATTGAAACCACGTGCAGCCCTTTTATATATAATCAAACAAAGACATGGAAACAAAGGTATTAAAATCAAAAATACTAAATAGTTAATACATTTACACACATCTTGGTATCAGGTATCAAAACACTGAACTTCTATGGTATTCTAAGTATATAGAATTAATCTATATGTTATTATTCTAGTTATGTGTTATTAATAATATACATAGAATTCTAATAGTTTAGTGCTGTAGTGAGTGTAAATAAAAACCGTCGCTATAGAAACACACAATTGACTGTTATCAATTTCAGCTGGCACACTCGTTAGGCTGTATTATTTAAGCCTTAAATTTTAAGGTAATAGGATTATTAATTACATATCTTGTTAAATTCTTGCTTCGTGTAAGCTCGTTACTTTGTAAATGTGAACAATGGATACACAAGAAGTTGATAGAAAAGAAATATCTATATTGAGAGGGGAAGCATTAACATACTTTGGTCCAAATGGATTAGGAAAGGAAGTGCTGGAACACATGGAGGATGTCGCTAACTCACTCTTTTATGACAATCCCGAAGATATTAATGCATATTTGGTTGATTTAATTATTACTTAATAATTTTATTTTATGCTTGTTAACTTTTAATGCTGCTAAAAGCTAAACTAAACAATTTCAGTCTTCTTACTTTCACAATCTTGCTTTCAGGCCAACGTTGTCACAGGTGTTGAATTAATTTATTTATTTACTTAATTTCGACATTAAAACAAAATTGAATAATATAATTTTTAGATTCATGCCAGATTTATTATCAGTGGCAATGGGTTACCGGCTTTCGAAATTGATATTTATTGCAAAGTGAAAAACATGATTAAAGTATATGTGTAAAATAATTGTTTTTGTACAATGTTTCACTTGTGAACATTAACAAATAAATTTGCAGCATGTATCAACTCTTTCTTCTCCAAACTCCTATAATTTTGTTGCTGACACAGACAAGGCATTACACAACACAGAACAATCAATTATGATCATTAATGAGGTGCTGTCCAAAAAGTTTTTCAACTGTTGTCCATATGATCAGTTGGCATTTGATGATGAATTGAAGTAAGGCAATATGGAGGTTTTTGTTAAGATAGTTTCAATTTTTCAAATGAAATTTTATTCATTAAAGGGAAATATTTTACAAACTTGAAGTAGAATATTTCGATGCTAAAAAAACTGAAAAAGTCATTCAACAAGAGGAAAAAGATAACGAAGCGACATCAGATACAGAAAGTATTACAAGTAAAAAGACTGGTGTCACAAAAAGTAAAAAAAATGATCCAAAGTAAATAATTTATTTTTCAAAGTTTTATTTTTTTTATTAAATTTATTTATAGACTATTACAAAACTTTTTTAAAAAATTACTTATTGGCAATCGAATTATAACAATCATAAATAATTTGCACCTCATTTTATTCTTTAAAGAATAAAATGAGGTGAAAATTTTCAATAATAAAGATTCGTGTGCAGTTGAAGTTTAGTTTTACGCAATCGTTTGTTTATCGAATATTTTTATATGTTCTCGTTTAAATTATTATTATTATAATTATTATTATTAGAACATCTTAGCAGTTCTCGGAGGATGTTGCGTAAGCCTTCTCGAGAAGGCTTACGCAAACATTTTCAGTTTTCAGTTTTTTCCAAAATACATCCGTCAAAATAATTTCACGTAGCTACATTGCAACAAATTCCAGACTGTCGTGGCTTAAGGAACCACCCCCATTTCTATTTGCTGCCGATCTGTTAGGATCTTGACGGTACAACATTAACTCATCTGCAGAACTCATCAAAATTATTTTACCAAATTTATTATTTTACCAGTATTTTACTAAAAGGACATTTGAATACCAACATTTTAATTTTGAACACCACCCACTGTCCCATTGGCAACCAAGGCAGACTACGACAATGGTTATCTTCATCATTTCTGGCAACTTCCTAGATTATTTTTCCATGAAAAGAAAGAAAGGTCTGCTTTTTCCAAGCAGTCTTTTTTATCTAAGCAGTCTTTTTTATCTGTTTTTGCTTTATTCTCTTTCTGTCATTGATTCGTTAAAATTTTTTACATTTTTTGGTGCTCTTTTTTTTCATGCATTCTTGTCATGTGTCACGTCCATTGCTTTCTTTCTTGAGACAATTTTGTTTGATTTTACACTATCAATATTTAACTCATTTTTAAACATCTCCCTGAGCCATTATAATTTTTATTTTGGAGTTCTTTTCTATTTTCTCTGTTGGGCTTCATAATTCAGCTCAACTTTACCGGTATTACGCATGTATTTCGTATCCTTAGTTATAATTTTAAGGATATTCATGATGCCATATGTCTCTTTAATATTCTTTTTAAATCTCCGGAAAAAATGTAGAAACCTTAAATATGAAATAGAAATTTTTAAAAGTCAATTATTTTGAATATTTCACATTTAAAAACATGATTCGTCCTTTTATTATTGATTGTTAACCAAATATTTTTTTTCTGCAAAATTAACTGTAAAAAATATTTTTTGTCTGAAATGCGAGACAAATAAGATAATTAAGAAACTGTTCTTTTGTATGGTTTCACTAGAAGAAGCACCGCTTTCTCTTGTCATCCATTTCATAGTAGCAGCAAATAAAACGTTTGAAAAACAAAAGAATTAATAAATAAATTGTTTACATTATTAGATACTGTTATTTAAAAACTTCTGGAATGTTTATTACAGAGGAAATACAGGAAAAAAGAAAAGTGCAACAAATGTAGATCCTGTTGTCAAACCAAAAGAAAAAGATACATCTTTCTTGGAAACTATTATGCCTGGATTGACGTGCAAGTCTGCTGTTTCTCAATCATTGTGCTATGCATCATCGTTTCTACAGGAAGCTCCTTTGTTCAAATACCTTTCTGATTTTTATAATATCGGGGTCAGTAATGCAAAATCGCTTTAACCATATTTGACCAGGGGCGGTCTTTACGCAAGGGAAGCCAGCCAAAGAATCATAATTGTTCAATTTATAATTAATTGTAATATTTTTTTATGTAATAATTTCACCTAATAAAAAATGAAATATTTAGTTAATATTGAAGGATTCTGTATAAAAGACAATAAACAAAAATAGACGGATTAGCAAAAAAAGTCATTTCAAAATTTTTGATCCGCTACGTTTCCTCCTACATCATTCATATCATACCTGAGACGATGATAAATAGCTCCTCCCGCCATTTCATATCTGAAATGACGCCCCTGCTTTTGACCATTTGAACATTTAAAATGTAATTCCAATTTGTTTTTCACTGTTTTTCATTTGTTATTTAATGACTCTAAAAAAGAATTTTTTGTTTTTAATTTTGCAGATTACGTCACCTTTCACAATACCTACACCTATGATAAGTGTAACAAGTTCTGGACTGTTAAGTTGTATTAAAGAAGTTTTGATCATACCATCACCTAATATGCCTCTACACAAAGTTTTTGCTTGGCATTTGTGTTCATTATATTTAATATTGCTTTAAATAAGCAATTATTATAAAATTGTAGGTAGCTGTTGCGCTGACGAAAATAATATCATTACATCAAAATGAAAACCTACCACAGCCACTCGCTGTCAGTTTTTTACTTTTTGTGATTTTATTATATAACTAACCACGGTTTACATCACATTTGTTGTTACGTTGTTGAAACAATCAACAGGAAATAAATACAAAAGTTGTTGGTAAGGAATCGCGAGGGGCAGCTGCACAAACTGGAAAAGTGGTAGCAGGAGAAAAACTTGAAAGCACGCTAGATAATATAAAAGAAATATTAACGAGAGCTGGTTACACACCAAATGAAGACTTTTATTTGGGACTGAATTGCTCTGCTCAAGATTACTTTCAAGAAGTATTTTTTTGCAATTTTTCTTCGTCAACAGAAATTTTATTGGTTTAAAAACTTTGCAATTACAAGGATAGTGATATGTATGAAATATATCCTGGAATCTCCAAATCTCCGAAAGATCTTCGAAAATTTTGGTTAAAACTGAAAAATCAATATCCGTCAATAATTTGCATAATTGATCCATTTCATAAAAAAGTAATTGATATTTGATCATTCTTAAATAAAATATGTAGAATTTATGTCAGTTCAGTTTTCAGTGAAACGCAATTTGTTTATCAAAACCGTTTCGTATACCACTTTAATATTATTAATATATCATATGTTTTGGTTTTGAGAACAAAGAAGAGTGGACCAAACTTTGCGGTGAGTTATCCAGCTGTACTTTCATATTTGGTCAGGATGCATTCAGTGTGCCTTCAATATTGATTCACGAAACTCCTGACCCATCATTCTCTTCATCGGGCATCATTTTGAAGTTCGATGACTCAAGCACTGTTACTGATTTGTGGAAAAGTGCCTTCAAGTTTAAAGGTTTGTTGTCTATCGAATTTTCATCATTTGTATTATTTTACAGATTTTTCTCCGTTAATTTGTAGTAATATTTCTTCAGAAATAATTTCCATTGAATAAAATGTTCAATAAACATTTTGTGTTTTTTATTGTATTTTCAACATTTTCAACAGTACTTATAATTGTGAACCAGTAATTATGCATATCTAATTCTAAATATATTAGCGTTAATCACAAAAATTCAAGATTATCACCAGTTGATCTGCATGAGTTCGAGCGAAGAAGATTCGTGCAGTTCATTTTGTGTTGATATGGTGGGTGAGTTTGGGCTCTCATATTTTTTATTATTGATTATACTCATTGAAAGATAAGAATTGGTTGATCAGGGTTAGGTATTCACTTCTTACTAACTCTGTAATATACATGCCATCTATTCTTCACTCTGTAACAGAAAAATTGCTTTCCTAAATTTAGGCCAAAGCAACTTCAGGTTTACTGACTTTTCCATATTTATTATCATTTCCCACAAAACCTTACTGTTTATTTATAAATTTTCCGTAAAACTTCCTATTATTTCTTATAAGTTTTTTTATAATTTCTTATAAATATTCAGTTTTAAGATACAAATAATATATTTATAATGTGTAAAGTATGTGTAATTTTATTATTGAGTCAATCGATCATTATTAGCTAGTAACACTGTATATTTATTGTTATCTATTAATTTATAAATAACGATTATTTTTGACAATCATATCATATTTTTCGTCATAAACTGCGATCATCGCTAGTTTTTGGGTAGACTCAGCGGCCTTGAAACTCTGAGGTATACTGTTAAAACCGATACCATAAGCAAAAGCCTAAATTTCTGAACTGCAATCTTACCGTCAACGATGGTAAATATGACAAATTTTATCCCAAAATTAAGACAGTTATGGGTTTAGTACAGGTCAGGTTCAATTACAGTCGGACCTCCGTATAAAGAATTTGATGGCTCCAGGAGAAAAATTCGTTATATAGAAATTTCGTTATATAGAATTAGTTTGGGAAAAATTCTATATTATCTAAAAGTTGTTTATATGCTTTATAGTTATGAAAAACAGCTATTCATAGCTATTTTATTATAATTATATCCTGCAGCCTCCAGCTTTTATTATCGACTTAATTTAAAATTATTTCTAACTGTTAACAGGCTGTAGCTTTGAGGGCAATGTTCATCAAAATTGGAGTCATTAACAAGCTAGAAAAATCAATAAAACTGCAAAGATTAATTCAGATTCATGATGACCTGGATAGACAAAGCATAATGAACAACGCACCAGGACAATTCACTTTTCACCAAGTTGGATCCATTTATAAAGAACAAGAAAGTCTCGATCACGATTCAGAATCAGAGTTTAAAACTGAGAAAAAGCCTCATAAAAAATCTCCAAATCGATCCAACGCTAAAATTTAAAGTTTTTTAACACTAAAATTATAATAAGAACATCCCGTATTTGTATAATTATTATACGACTCATTTCAATTTTTTATTTCATGTGCACAGATGCTGAATGAAGGATGAAGGGTCATTAACTTATTATTATTGTTGTTGTTGTTAATATTATTTTTACTATTATTGATGTAATATTATAGTTTTTATTTTATTAATAGAAATGGTGGGTCAATAATAAAGTTGTGCTCAGCTAACATCGTCGATTATGGTTTATGGGGGATTATCAATCACTCGTAGAAACTCACACACACACACATACACACACAGAAATATAGATATATTATATTAATGTATGCATCAATCATATGTTTGTTTTGCTGCTACTTGGGAATTCCCAGGGCTAAAAGCATTTAGTTTCAATTAAATCTGTCAGCTTGTGGTGATATAAAAATAAATAAGATGATCAGCATGGCTGTTGCGATTGGATTAAATCAGTGTGTGTGGACTGAATTTTGATTGGCTTCGTCATTCAAGTATATTTTTTTTATCAAGATTTGAAAGTGCTAAACCGGGGAACCCTCCTTAACTATGAACTCTAGGCTTTAGAGAGTCGGAACGGAAGTAGAAAATGTCAATCTTTTATTTTAATTTAATTTTATTATCATTTTGCTCTGTTATTATTTTCGCGAATGACGGTGATGTATGTAAAATTGAATTGGATTCTGACAAGATAGTGAACAAGGTGGAAGACTTTTTTATAAGTTACTGCATTGATTCTCAAATGTTCAACCCTGATGAACACTGGGAGAAATTCGATTTCAGGTTTTGTCCTTTTTCAATTGTTTTTTAATAATTATGATTACGATTATGAAATGATCGATTGCTAATGATAAAGTTCATCATCAAAATTTAAAATTGATAGTCATTCACAAAACATGTCATATATATATATGATTGCCATACTCATGACAATGACAAGCAGGGTGACTGAAGTTCAGAAGAAATTTTACGGTCGCTGGAAAATAATGAGAAATAAAACATAAAATAGAATATATATTATGAAAATTATGAAAGTGAATTATATAAAAAAATAATGTAGTTTATGTATTGTAGTATATGATTGCCATGTTATTAGCATTAGCATAATTAGCATTAGAATTAGTTGAAACACATCACAGAATACTGGACCAGATACTGTTAATTTTTAAAAAAATGACGTTGTCATGGTGAGCACTGGACAACTATGTAACTAGCTATATTTACACACATACACACACACACACACTCATTTATATATTACAGATCTGTGAAACTGCACACCCTAATAGATGGTTTGTTTCCGTCAATATTGAGAATAGGTGGCAGTCCAGCTGATTATTCATTTTTTGACCTTCCAGTTGAGACTGTGGATGCCAGTGGGATTCAACCGAAACCTTATGTTATCACCAGTAAGAACACTCGTTTTTTGTTTAACATACCTGTCTTCTTCACTGACGTTATTTTATAAATACGAATGATGTACCGCAGAACAAGATGTTATTAATCTGTTGCAACTGACATCATCAACAAATACCAAGTTGCTGTTTGATTTTAATGTTCAAGTTCGATTTGGTTACAATTGGGACCCCTCAAATGCTATCCAGTTTTTGAACTTTGCTGCACAATTCTTAAATGGAACTGATCTTCTCTTCGAACTTGGAAATGGTATTTTTTCACTTCAAAGTTTTTTTTACTAATCTTTTGAAGTGACATTATTATTTATAATATGTATAAAACTATTTTTTTTGTTTATCGACAAAAGAACCAGACTGCTTGTTGCCTGATTTGATAACTCCAGAAAGACTTGGTGAAGATTTTGCCATATTGCAGAAGCTGTTGAGCTATTATCAGAGCAAGGGAATGTACAAGAAAAGTTTCATAGTTGGACCTGATGTTGTGTCTATGAATGGCTTAGAACTTCAGTACATTACAAGGTTCTTAATATACAAATATCATCAACATTTAAAATAAAAATAATTATGTACATTTTTTACTCATCATATAGCGTTGTTAACAAAATGGCGGGAAACCTGAGAGCTGTCACATTTCATCAGTAATGTCTCAATTTGTTTTTCTTCAGCATAATTTTTAAAATTTTTGTTGAAGTTAATTCTGATTACTGTTAATTTTTTAAATCCATCCAATCTGACTTTGCAGCTATTACTTCCGAGGCGACGTTGCTACATACAAAGATTATTTGAATCCTCAAAATTTTGCCAACCTGGCAGAAAGCATCAACAATGTGAAACAGGCAGTCTCAAGAAGCAATTATCCGGCAACACATATCTGGATTGGAGAGACAAGTGATGCGTGGCACTCAGGAACTCCCAATGTTTCCGACAGATTTGTTTCTGCTTTCTTGTATGTTGTTCATTCTGTTTCTCCATGTCAATGTACAATTTTTAATTCATATCTAATGAATAAAATTTTATTTTTACATATTTTGCTGATTCCAGCTATATATTGAATTTAATATGAGTTATGTAGGTTACAATAACTTTTAACAAGATTCAAACTAGTGATCTAATGATCACATCTTACAATGTAGAAAACTTCAAACCATTGATTTCAAATTTTCATTTGATTGAGTTTTGTGTTTCAGATGGCTGGACAAGTTAGGCCTGAGTGCTTTAATGGGAGTAAAAGCGGTGATGAGACAGACATTGTATGGATATTATTACTCATTGCTTGATCTGGATATGAATCCCAATCCGGTTTCTTACCTGAAAATAATTTTTGTTACAAAATAATCTGATAATAATTTTTGTTACAAAGTAATAGTTTTTCATAACACGAGCAACAATAGTTTTTTATTCAGTGAATGTATTGGCATAGGTTGATGATGCTCACTAATTTAATATTACCGTTTTTTGTTTTAATAATTATTATTAGTAACAAAACCAACATTACTTTGTTAGAACGTGTTAACAGTTCAAAAATTGTACAACAAATATTTTTTTAGGATTATTGGTTATCATGGCTTCACAAAAAGTTGGTCGGGTCATTTGTGCTTTTATTGAAACTCTCCTGCAGTATCCGTGCTTATCATAACGACGACGTCAACTTTGTTCATTCATTTAAAAATGATGCAAAAAATCGTCCAGATGATGTCACAACTTACAAGACTGTGGCTGCTGAGAAGGATCCATACGTTCCATACAACTGTGCTAGACATTCTGACAATGTCAACAAACAAGATAACAACAACAACTATAATAATAATAAGAAGAATAATACGATGAATGATAACGGTGATATTGATAATGATGTGAAGAAAAGTGCTTATAACACTTTCAAGAATGCAGATACGATACATAGGCTTGGTGCATTTAAGTTGAATAATGCAAGTAGTTCTCTGCCGACATTCAGGATGTATGCTCACTGTACACAATATAGGTGCATTATTTTAAATTTGTTTCTTGTTTCATTTTGTTCATTTCCCATTCTTACGTTCTAAATTAATGTCATTTTATTATGATTTCAGTTCAATGTATGGCGCTGGAAGTGTTACATTGTATGGTCTCAATTTGCACCCTACCAAATCTGTTGATGTCAAATTTGTTGGAATATTTAAAAATCTCGATAGACATGTTTACCTAATGGAGCCTGATAATGATTATAAAGAGAATAAAAAGAAAGAAGAAGAAAAATATTCACATAAGGATCTTCCCATTTTATCGAAGTGAATAATTTATTAAGTTTTTAGTTGCGCTTGTAATAATGAAATTGGTGTTGAAATAATGTTTGAAATGACGAATGAAAAGGCTAATCATTAATAAAAATAACAATAATTATCTTATAACTGTTGATTTTATCACTATTATTTTAGATATTGTAAGTTGAACGGCAGAAGAATGATGATGGTGTCTGACAGGGAGATGCCTGGCTTGAATCCCTTGCACCAATCTTCCGATCAAACATTCACTTTACCACCACTGACCTACGCATTCATCGTCTTCTATGATGCCAAACACGCTTCTTGCATGTAGCTTTGTATGTGGTTGTGTGTGTATGCGTGCGCGTGTGTGCGTGTGTTTGCATGTATGTGGACAACGTTCCTTTTCAGTCACTGACTTTTTACTTTTTGGCGCATGATTATTTTATTTTTTTGATTGTTTTATTTTTTTATGAATTTTTTGTGTTGGAATTTTTTTTTCGAATTTCAATACGACCCAAGATAATTTTTAACCATTTTTAAAACATCTTAATTGTTTACATTGTAAATGTAAAGTAAATGTCAATATACACTTTTTTTACTATTAATTTATTTCTTTCCTGCTTAACCAAATAATTTCTTACACGACGTATGATTATTATTGTGCTCCTAATTCTCTTTAGCACTTCCGGTTTGGATCATTATTCGTTTATTTTTTATTTCATTTTGAATCACATATTTGAGCTTATTCATAACGCAGTCGATTATGAAAATTTTTTGCCGTAAATAAAATTTTTTATGTAGATATAATTTTTTATTATTTGAATAAATTTCTCCCATCTATTTTCTACTTAGGTCTTAAAAAAGTGTAAGGGTCTCTAACACCCTTCCTAGGTTCAGAGGAATCAACAACACAGAAGCAGCGTATATGAATACGCTCTAAACGATGCATAGCACGCTGAAATGGAGCATGTGATATGCGGAGATCTTTTTGCCGTATCCATCACCTTTCGACAATGACCCTTCCGTTCACATAAGTACTATTAGTTAGTTAAAGCAACTGATCTGTGGCAGAGTGGTCGAAAAGAAGCGCTAAATGGCGTCCAGAACGGTTATTCAGAATCCACCTCAAAGATGTGTCTGTAAGAGAAGACAATATCCCGTATGGGGAAGTCGTTAAAAAATTTGTAACACCATTTATTGAGTTTACTTTTCTGATTGTTAAATACTAACCTTTTTAGCATAATTCGGGGATCCGCTCTATGGTGTTAAATGCGTACGCTCAAACGCAAAAATTTTTTGTTGTAGAATGAGTCTTTTCACAATCATGTTTGCAAAAGAGTTTCGGTTTCAATTATCGGGTTTATAAAAACTTTAAAAATAATTTTGCTTGGAGCAGGTCTTCGACTTCTGTTGTTCATAAGTTTTGAATGTTTTAGTATCGCATAAATGATAAAGACTTTATTTCTGTAAACATTGATGATAATCCTAATCTTTGACAATCGAAAAAGAGAAGAATTAACGATAATCGTTGGTGATCTTCAAATACCCCTAATCAGTTTGTAAAGCGCTATTTCCGCGATATTTAACAGCGCTCCTCAGTGAATTTTACAAATAGATGGTTCTTGAGATACGCTCTGAACTTCGTAAGTGAGAGAAAAGAAGTTAGGAAAGGAGGTAATGAGTTCCAGAGAAAATGGGCAGAAAAAGCAAACGCATATTTAGCAAAAGAGTGTTTAAAACGAGTTAAGAACGAAAAGACAACCGTAAACCGGGGCGTTTAGGTTCAATTAAAATATCTGATAATTACTTAGGAAATTATTTGGATGAAAACTTGTACATAAATGTGCAAATTTAAAAAATTATTCTATATTTTATAGGTAACCAGTGCAAAAGAACAAGATATGGAGATATATAAGAAAAGATAGGGGCACGAGCAACTAGACGAGCAGCAGAAGTTAGAAGGATAGAGTGTAGAATCAGAAAGATCATTGCAGAGCGAGTTACAATAATCAATCCTAGAAAAAATTAATGAAAAAAACAAGTAAGAGAAGAGTAGAATCGCTAAGAAAAGGCAGATTTTTTATGCTTCTTAGATGTAAAAACTTTCAGCAATACTTTTAATCTGAGAAGAAAGAGCAAAGATAAAGAAAGCCTAGACTACAAAAATTATGAGAAACATCAAGTTTTAGAATCAGGTAGAATAATAGAAGAGATGGTAAGAGTGTCCAGATTTATTAAAATATATTAATTCAAACCTGGAAGGTTAAATTTAAGATACATCGAACGTAAATGCTAGAAATTTTTTTTCGGATCAGGTTATTGGAAGTTTGGCAACATAAGGTGGGATAATCACTTGTAATGCAAGTTCGCTTTTTCAATACTCGCCTATCAAAGTGAGCATTGGCTGGGAATTTATTAACTAGTACTGCTTGTATATACTATGATATAACAGTCTTTATTTAATGTTACTATACTGACACACACGCGCATACACGTGGTATCTCTCGAGCGAAATTTCGTAAACTTAAGCATTTTAAAGAAACAACAGTAATATTAATAATGATTAACAACAAAACAGCAATAATAATAATATAAACTACTCATACACTATAAACACGCAAAAAACAAATAAACTATATATAAGGACCAATCGCATCCAATCCATTTATAGAAATGAAACAAGTACAACCATACAAAAAAACGACACATTGGTTATAGATACATAATTTATTTCACTCACTTTTCAAAATACGATGAAATTTTTAAATGAAAGCATATGTACAAAATATTTATTAGAAGTAAAAGTGACAAGTAACAACGGTGAAAATGTTAATAGATGAAATAGTGAGAACTTAACAAGGACAACCAATCACTTATATATATATATATATATATATATATATATATATATATATATTCTGTAAAAACATGAACCAATATATATATATATATATATATATATATATATATATATATATATATGTTGGTAATAGACCATAATTTTTACAATATTCTATAAATTCTACCGACTGTTTGGCGTTAATATGTTTGTAGTTCGTTTTTTCGATTTTTCTCAATAAAGTTTTTTGGTGAACGTTTAGTTTATTAAAATTCAAAATAAACTTATTTTTCGAATTCATGCTGCAAATAAGGCCATATTTCGATTCTGAATGAACATTCGGTAGAATTTATAGAATATTGTAAATATATATATATATATATATATATATATTTAAAAAATTCAACACTACTTTCAACATTGTTCAACTTTTTTATATTTCTTTTTAATTTATTAATTTCAGAGAAATTAGACATTTTATTGTTTTTAAAAAAAATTTTATTAAATAAATTTGCAAATAGCTATTTCGAGTTATAAATAACTCATCTTCAGTGCATTATATATAAGGTATGTAAGATATTTGATATAAAGGAACAAGTAATTATGAATTTATATAAATTATTTAATTAAAACAGAAAACCAATAAAATAAATTTAATAACTATAAACAATATAAAACGCGATTTTTAAAATTTTAACGGCAAGATTGTTTATATTATGGTTGTTAAGGTAAATATCAACGCTCAGCCGAGAAGCGCGAATTAATTTATTTAATTAACTACATATTATTAATATTATTTTGACAATATTTAAAAACGTTATTATTATTATTATTATTAACGTTATTATTATCATTATCATCGCTGTGGTTCTTCTTGCTTCTTGTGATGATGTTCCATTTGCAAGTGATATTTGCGCTGTGGGTTGTGGCGTTGGTATCTACAGTGTTGGCACTGTTGTTGTTGTTATTGTTGATGCTGTTGTTGTTGATGTTGTTGTTAGGGTTGTCACTATTGATGATGTTCCAATTGCAACTGATGTTTGCGCTGTGGGTTGTAGCATTGGTATCTACAGTGTTGGCACTGTTGTTATTGTTGATGTTGTTGTTGATGTTGTTGTTAAAGTTGTCACTATTGGTATGATTGTTGTTTACATCATCAATATTGTTGGTGATAACATTGTTATAATTATTGCTGTTGTCGTAATTGTTGTTGTTATAATTATAATGATTGTTGTTTT